TTATGTTCTCTTAATTCTATAAATTGAATCAACTCAGTCACTCCATTCATTTATCTTCCAAAACAATGTGACCACTTTCCATTATCTAATTCAATAAACAAGTGCATTCAGAATATATGTATATAAAACATGTATAGCCTCTTATACATGAGTAGGAGGAAGTAAGGGTAATAAATATTTGTGAAATGAAAGCATAGAAGGGACTATGCAGGGGAGGATGGGGATTGGGGAAGGGGACCTGAGTAAGGGAACAAGCCAAACAATGGGAACATGGAAGATAGTAGAGGAAGGTGACAAATAAGAACAAAACATATTTATAAAAATGCCAAACCGAAGCTCATTACTTTTATACTACTTAACTACTAAAAGAAAATAAATTTTAAAATGCATGTATGAAGAAACAGCATAAAGAATAATTTTTAAAGCAAATCCAGAAAAATTATATGACTAACCTCAGCAAACATCAACAAACAAGCAAGCACATGGATATTATTTCCAGAAAAAGGAAACAAAAAAAAAGTTTAGAAATGGAGTTGAATAATAAAGTTAAGAAAAATTTCCAAAATCAACAGTAAGAAAACAGGTAGTGTGGCCATCTTGGTTGGCACGGTTTTCTTCAGTTCCACTGCCTAGTAGTAACCGGCAGCCATCAGCTAAAGGAACATTACATGCAGATACTAGTGAAGCTAACAACTAATCTGGAAGGCTTAACCTAAGGAAGAGAGAGTAAAGCTACTTTACCCTAGTAAAGTAGCTACGTGAGAATTACACGTGACTGTACTCTAGTTTGACCCTGCTAGTTTCTGCTGTTTCTGAGTAGGTAAGAAGTGCTACAACACGAAGTCTAGGATAAAGAACAAAACTTGGTCAATAGTTTAAGTGACAATGACAACAAATATAATTACAAAGAAGCAGCACTAAAAATTCATAATTACAAGGAACACTGTGATAAAAGAATCAGGCTGACTCTGTATTTTGGAGTTCACTTTAAAGACAATTATAATGTTATACAGCATTAATCTTAAAATAGCATAGAAGAGCAATAAGTAGCTATTTTTCTTAAAAATATATTCATTACTACTGTGAAAACTGCTCATTGCAATGTTTCTACTTGTCTATTGCCACTAAACCTAGTATAAGCTAAAAACTGGTACAACAAAAATTTTGTGCAGCCTTTAGCTTACACAATCTTTAAAACCAAGAAAACAAATTGAGTGGGTTTTTAAATGATTATTTCAAGGTATCAGTGAAGGAAAAGGGAGAAGAGTTAAAACATAATTTTATCCTGAAAATATAGTAGAGTACAAAGACTTGATAAAAATAGTAGGATTTACACTAAATTTAGGTTTGCCCAAATCAAAGAATTTGGTTTAATGTAACCTGTAAGCTCATTTATTCTAATGCTAAGCTTGAAAACACCATACATATACTAAAGGTGCCTTTTGAAACAGGTCTTTACTCTATAATCACTGTTATTTATCTAATTCTTTTAAGGATTACATAAAAATGGTGGTATTAATAATTTCTCCCTTTTATCCTGCTGCTAATTCTACTAAGAGCAAGACATCTATCAAAAAGTTTACGATTACATGAAGACCCCTATAAATGGTCATATTTAAAAAAAAAAAAAAAAGTCTGAGGGACAAAACCCTTGGTGGGAGAACTGCTAGCAGACTTCTGGATACAGGTCTAGGCAACACCTATCGGAGAAGGCATATGGCGGTGCTCTTCTGAGAAAGGAGGTAATACACCAGACTTCTGATTTTCCTCAAGCTTCAGAAAATGCTGTATCTATTACATAAAAAGTCATTAAATTTCAACACAAAGCTACAAATCACACATTATCTGATGCAGAAACAACACAGTCAAATATCAATATTCACAAATTTTAATTACTTTCTGGAAAGCAGGTTTTAATGTAGTTATTTTTATTTATTTATTAAAAAGAAAGCTGCTTCAGAACTTGATAGTTATTTTTTATATGGTTTGTTCACTAGATACTCTTGCCTATATATATAAACTATCTTTTCCAAATCCATTACATTTGCTGTTATAAAACAAAGAAGCTAGAGCTGACAAGTATAGGAACTGGGAGATGATTTGAGCACTCCTCCTACACACATGTACGCACTCACATCACACACATAAATACATGTTATTTTTCAAGTGACAAGTATGTGAAATATTAAATGAACATACTAGGATAAAGAAATGATAAAAGTACAGTTCATGTTTGTGCAGGTAGAAAACTGTATACACTAGAAACAGGGCACTTTTGCTAAGATGACCTTAAATTTAAAATGTAAGTCTGTAAAATTTTTCCCTGACTTTAAGGAGGAAAAAAATCACAATTATACATTCCAACAAAAATTATTCTGACAAAAAACCACCACTTTGATTTTAGATAATATGGGTTTTAGGAAAAACCCACTATTGTCTGACAGAATAACTAGAACTATAATCCTCTTATTAAGGACTTCATGAGTCAGGTCTCACACCTCTATTTGTCTTTTAGAACATGAATAGTATTGTGTATAAATCAACTTTACTTTCTTACTCAAACCTAAAAAGCAGTTGGCCTATAGTCAGAACTTAAAACTGTTCAATTTAAAAAAATTATTATTATTATGAGTCCCTGAGGGGAGGCACTCACCAGAGAGGGGTGTGTGAGGAAGAGGGCAAAGGACACAAGATAGGTTACAAGAGAACTTTGTAGAGTCAATCTCTCCTTCCACTTTTACTTGGGTTCGTGGATCACATTTAGATAACCCAGCTTACGAAAAAAGCCCCCCCCCCCAAAAGAAAAAAGTTCCCTACCTACTAAGCCATAGTACTGGCTATCAAATTGCTTAAATTTTATATAAAACTATTAAGAAAAAAGCACTGGCTTTTTTTCTTGCCAATTTATTGCGACTTCTGTTTCACTTTCCTTAAAAGTTAACCAAAAACCTCCAAGGTCAATCACTCCATTCTGTTCAATTTTCTTGGGCTCTTGCACATCTATACCAGCAATGACAACACAACCCATTTAGCAATCATCATGGGCTCTAAACCTAGCCCAGAATTATAAGCATGCTACTTCTGCAACACTGGAAATTTAAAAAAAAAAAAAAAAAAAAATCGCCATTTATTTGAAAGGCTAGGAATGCTGAGCAAGCTTTTCTTCTATGTTGTTCCTACTTACTACTCTTCTGTCTGCCAAGATTTATCACTCACCTCTAAAACTCAGTACCATTACCTATCAAGGATTCTAAGCAGATACTCCACACTGTAAGTAAAATCTGTCAATTATAGGCCTACATCAGTATGTTCGCACCAGTTCAAACATCAACCACTCCTCAACCTAGCCTCATTCAGATCTTCTATGTATCAAGATCCTCCTCCTCCTACCCT